GGGGGGCTCGTCACCTTTTGTCCATTTAAAAACAAATTTCTGTGTGGATTTTACTGTAAAACATTGATCAAAGTCAAAGGCGCAAAAAGTTTTAATTTGCAGTTTCCAAGGAATCTCAAGCTTTAGAGATAGAAAGTCACCATACTTTGGTGGCGATTTTCTCAGAAACCAGGTGACCTCCACCTCCTTCAATCGCAAATAACTCGACTTCTATTCAAGATAGATTAGTAATTTTCCATTGCAAGCAAGACAAATGAACAAGCTTTAAGATGATACCGTACATATAATAATAAATATACCAATAACTCCACGTGCCCCAAAAATGATGTGCACCTGATTCCACCACATGGCCCATTGTGACACATACGTATACAGTGGAACAAGGTCACCGGGCCTGACCTAAAATCTGGTTGAATCCTTTTGTTCGTTACAGCAAACATGAGGTTTTGTGTAGATAATTACAGGCACTTAGCAAGTAATGTATAAAAAGAAGTAAGAAGTGGTGCCTGAAATATTGTATGAGCTGTGCAAAAAAAGATGACCGATTCGTTCAAATGCACGCCTGTGTCATTTCGATTACATGCCAAAAAGTTCTGTTGCTGTGTAGAGCCTAGCACTAGCAGCATACGGCAACTTTTGATTCCATAGACCAGCGCACAATTCATAACGTAGGTCTACGTCAAGACTAGCTGCCCCGACACGCACACAGTCACACGTGTGCAGGCCGCCCTACCGACCCCGACACAATGACATGCTAGAGTAGACACGTGCGCGTGCCAACAAAGCATGTGTTGATATGAAAGAAGGCTGCTCATTTGCCAAATGCAATCGGCTAAGTGAATAATGGTTCACGATGCAGGTGCAATGGATGGTTTCCGGGAATAGATTATAAAGTTTGTTGTTGGAGAAAAATGAGGGAAGCCACATCTGTGGGGGCTGTTCTTCGTTGAATCCGAGTTCTTGTTGAATTTCGAGTTCCACTGTACAGCACAACAAGTCACCTCTTCTTGCACTGTCCCCCCTTTGTCATTCCAAAAGACCAGTGGCGGTGGGAGGACCAAAATTTGGGAGGGGCTTAGGTTGCTTCCAGTTCTTTACCACCAAATAGCAAGCAATAAGCACTAAACAGTGATTTTTCTATACTCACGGTGAGCCACGGCATTATGAGAACCATTCATTCAAACGAGAAGAGTTGCCTTTGTTTTCCATCTCTTTGTTCTTAGTTAAATTCTTGTTGATGGTGGGGACGAAGCCGATTCACCTCAGAAGTTCCTTTTTTTAGTTTTCATGTGATGAAAAAGTTGCCTTAAAAGTAGTTCGGCCTGATTTATAACTGTTAAATCTCAGCGGCACAAACACAAACATGCACACACAGCACTTCAAACATATAATACCTCTATGAACTGAATAAGGCTGTGTAGTCGAGAAAGTTGAACGCACCCAACAAAGAACCAATGAGCGCATACGCATCTGTGTCAGTGGGGGAAAGTGTGTCATAAACTTTCACCCTATTGTCAGGGCTAGGCCAGGAGAGCGTGAGCCCTCGGTACAGTGCACAGAATTCTACACTTGTAGTGTAGAATTCTGTGGTACAGTGTTATTTCCCCCTCCAGTCTTCTACCTTTTACAAGAAGTTTTGTTAAGGACGGTCTGTGGGGAAGGGCTCCCTAAAGACATTTGATTGGCCGTTGGGTTACTATGTAAACGGGGACAACAGTTATTGGATAAGCATGCAAGCCGCCAAGTTGACCACTCTGTGTCCCAAACATGGGCCAAGATAAGGGAAGATGATACAGTGGAACTCGGATTCAACGAGGTCGCCGGGCCTGATCTAAAATCTCGTTGAATCTAAGTGTTCGTTATAGCAAACATGAGGTTTTGTGTAGATAATTACAGGCACTGAGCAAGTAATGTGTAAAGAAAAGTAACAAATAGTGCCTGAAATGCCTGCATATTATGAGCTGTGTCAAAAATTTTTTTAAAAGGCCGATTCGTTCAAATGCACGCCTGTCATCTCGATTATTTTTCAAAAAAGTTATGTTGCTGTGTAGAGCCTAACATACGGCAACTTTTGATTCCATAGACTATAGACCAGTGCACAATTCATTACGTAGATCTACGTCAAGACAAGCTTATCATTGTAATAATGATCAGTTGCCGGGTGGGAGGTTAGAAGACTGCAACGCTCATCGCCCGGACCGCTAGAGCCCCCAAGCCTCCCCGATACGCACACACAGCCACCAGAGAGTTTACACGTGTGCAGGCCGCCCATCCGACCCCGACACACGCCAGAGTACTAGATACATGCGCGTGCCAACAACGCATGTGTTGGTATGAGTATGACAAAAGGCCGTTGATTGGTCGCATGCAATCGGTTGTTAAGTGAATAATGGTTCACGATGTAGGTGCAATGGATGGTTTCCGGGAATAGATCAAGTTTGTTGTGGGCAAGGAGATTAAAAGTAGTTCTAAACTCCTTGGTTGTGGAAGAAAAATGAGCGACGGGGGCTGTTCACCCTGGGAGCGATCTCGTCGAATCCGAGCTCGCTGATTTAAAATAAGTGCTCGTTGAATCCGGGGTATTTTTTATTATTTTAAAAAAGAAAAAAAAAGAGGAATCTATCTCCCCTCGTTGAATCCGAGTTCCACTGTAATGGAGCTTGGGGTACTTTATGGTGAACAGATTAATGTACACTTCTTAACTTCACATGTGCCCAAGTAGTAACTACATGTACTTCATATTCATAGTGAAAATGGCGGTAAACTGTTCTTTCAATTAAACTTTTTGTCTTCATGATAAAAGGGGGACACGGCGCTGTTTTAGTTTTAGTACATGTAGATCTATTTTATCTAATTGTTATTACTTCGGGAATATCCCGGTTCCATGTCTCCATTTTTATTCTTTGGAGATGTCTTTCCTTCACCATCCACGTGTACTCGTGTTGACAAGATTAATACGTCCTCAGTTTATTTTTAGACTTGCTCAAGTCTAGACACAAGAGTTGGCATCTCTGAAGAATTTGCAGCTCTTACTTTAGAACAGGAGTGTTTCGGTCCAACAATTAAGATCTGTACACCAGTCATTAACTAAAAAGAGAAAAAGCAAGATAGACATCACCAGCAGGACAATGTGCTACTTTATCCAGTATAATAAAAACGGCTCAACCGTCAAGGTCAGAGTATGACGATGACAAATGCATCCACAGAGTGGAATATTTCTCCAGTATAGAAGTAAAAGAATTTGAAGAAATAAAGGTTTTGTTTGTTTTAGTAGTATAGTAAGAGTTTTACAGCACTTGCAACACAATATGGTCATAATATAATAAGTGCCAAAGATTAGAGGTGTTACAACAAGAGAGTAACAAACACAAAAAAGGAGGGGAGATAAAGACAACAGATGTTTGATAGGAAAGAAGAAGCAAACCACACCAGAGCACCCGCCAACCACCCACTAAATAAAGGTTTAACGTCAAGATGACTTGTGGTTTCTGCTGGCAGATGAGACCAATTTTGGCAGAGAAAAGTTTGCCCCATTTTTAACACTTGTGGATGTGAGCAGCTTGCAGGCTTCTCTCTCTGTTTCACAGCAACTAATTACATTGCATGGGAGCACATATCTGACTTGGACAGTTAGTTTCACCAAAACAATACAACCTTTATAAATGTACTAGAAAAGGAAAACAGACTTGTGTACTTGGCTTACATTGAGGGTTGAAAACCTGATTCAAGGACAACACTAGCATTTATTTGTAGAGGGACAACTAGTTCTCTATTGCACACACATAACAAGAGTTGATTCTCAAAAGGGGAAGTTTATTTGTTGAGCATTTCCATCTGGTGATGTTGTGTCACACTCAGCTCATGTTGGCACTTACAGGTAGGGTTATTACTATTAGCAACCTGCCTTCTCTATGATCTATACTGTGTCAAAGGCGGTGTCAAACATTTATAACAAAATAAGATTACAAACACAGTTGGTTTTGTTGATTGCAAAGACTCAGCTTCAAACGTATTTCCAACTCTAGCAATCAGGGCTTTTATATTTTTAAACAACTAAATCTTCCAACAACACAGCTACATGGCGACAAACAATAAGGAAATTATACAAGAAACTCCTTGTTCACTTTTTTTTTTTTTAACTTTTATTTATACAGTCATCCAAACAGCAAAGTTCACTTGAGCTCCTTCACAGCCAAACCTGAGGAACAAAAGGAAAGAGCATTACAGCAAAATCAAAAGCATTTCTTATTCACAAAGAAACACACTAATTCATCAAAATTTCAAAGGCAAAATTCAATGAAGTTGGGGGGTAATTTAGAGTTTTCACTGTGGGTCTCAAATTCCCAGAAAACATGATAAAATCCCTTTTTTAAAACACTAACGCCTTCATTAAACACGGTCAGTTCTTGTTTCATCAGGCAGTTTCGGATCCCCTGGGACAAAAAGTAGCCCTAGATTTAGGTCAGTTGCCTATAATTAGACTTAGACACTGTTTGTAAACACTGCCATCTCTAGAAGGAAAAAAAATGAACGGAAAAAATATAGCTGAATGTGAATCTACAATTTATTTAGTTAAATACATCTAATGGAAGCAGTATGCAGAATGCATCTTATGACAAACAACGCTCGTCATTCTTGTGTGCTTCACAAGGTATAACGAACGCCGGACGTCACAGCAGCATCTTGGCTTCTTCAGTGTATAAGAACAAATGACAAAGAGCGAATACAGTAGTCTCCGCCTAAGATCCCGCTGTTTTAAGAAAACAGAATTTTTACTATACAAAAGTCACCCCCAAGATCCCGTCTGATTCACTCTGAAGGTCTACATTCGGCTAAGATCTCGCATTTCAGATCACAATCTGCGGAACAAAAACCCGGGCGGGACAGCCGATCAACCAAGAGTGAAAAGTTGAGATCAATAAACTGTCAGTCGTGTTGAAGATTAGCCACTATTGTGAATGTGATCACATACACGTAAAACTCGATGAAGCGATACAATGTTTGCCCCAGACGGGATCACACCGGGGTGTGAACTGACAGACACGTTTGTTTTCCCCGAACATCGCACTCACACCGGAGCCCCCCCCCCCCAAAACTTACATCACTCGCTAGGTGGGTAGGGCCTACACGTTCGCTCCAGACGGGATCACATTGAACTGTGAACTCTTCCCTGACCATTGCAGAAGTTGTCTCCACTCCCGAATTGGCGAGACATACTGAATTTTAATTGGTGTGTTCACAACGTAATGGTGTCTGTAACGACAAAGGCGGTTGGGGGCTCCGCTCGGTCAGAGATGGAAAGCTATAAATTTTCGACAGGTAAGTGGGAGGGGCAACTGGATAAGCGTAGATCTTGAGACTCATGATAGGATAATAAGTGAAAATGGCACGTCGTCATCCCACTATGCACTGTGATAGGTCATCAAGGTTAACCCCTCTTTGCTTGCCATACGTCATAAACCCACTAAGCGTTCATTTCAAAGCGGAGGGAGACCATTTTACCAATTGCGAGCCTTAGCATGGTTAACCATAGATTCTTCCCTGGGTTCGTCAGTTAAGACCCCGCATTTCCTAGCTCCCGAGCACCGGGATCTCAGGCGGAGACTACTGTATATGTCTTTTAGGTCACAAAGGGGTTGTTAATGATAAAGAAACATTTTCTGAAAGCTCAATGGCTTGGCAAAACTATAAACTGAAAAAAAAAATTTTTTACCCCAAAACTCTTCCGGTTTTATGAAATGGCTTTTTAGTTTAAAAGTTTTATTACGGCACTGGCAACACAATAAGGTCAAATAAGTGCCGAAGAATAGAGGTGGTACAAGAGAGTAATATACACAAAAAGAAGGAGAGATAAGGACGATAGATGTTTGATAGGAAAGAAAGAGCAAACCACAACAGAGCACCCAACAACCACCCACTTATGATATAGCTGATCGCATGACTGTTTACCCTTTTTTTAACAGATGGTGGAAGTAAACACTCCAAAGGGTGGCATTAAAATTTGACCAAAATGTAAAACCTTGTGGCTTTTGTTAAAGGCAAAACGAGCACAGCAAGTTACAATGAAATCATGAAATGAAAGACACCCCAGACTGCATCTGTTCTGAATCACTCATAATTTTTTTCAAAAAGAAATAAAATGAAATGGAATTGCAAGATGCACTCTACCAATTTACCCTTGATTCCAAATTTGCCCCTCAGGTCCAGATCTAATAATTCATCTCATGCTTCACTCAAAAGAAAAGGCATTGGTCGGTCTGAATCTAGTACCACACACATCATGTGCAACTGTCTCCCCGTTTCTATTCTTACTGTCCACAGAATTACACTTTCAAATGGAAAATAATTTTTTTAAAGGAACTTAAGAGGTCTTATGTTTCTTCTTAACCATAAACGATAGCACAATGTCCAGATCAGCCATCTGGGAGTGTTAACAGAGGTTCAGTATCCACAAATATCATAATGTAGTTGAGTCTCTAAAGTCTGTAGATTATAAAATGTGTCACAGCAAAGGACAAAACAACAATTCTACTCTCATTGTCATCATCCAATTCCAGGGAACAAAATGCTAGAAGCAATAAATTGGCAACAAAAAAGAACGTTACAACAGCACCAGCAATATTTTCCATTTCTGGCCAAAAAGACAGAGTAGCAAGCAAGCCCAGTGCTTCCACCAGCTGAAGCTGAAAAGTAAAGAAAATTCTGCCGGGAGTCCCCAGCAGGGACCAGGTACAGCTTCGCGGTGGGGGTTCAGGGGGTGAAGCCTCCGAAGAAATCGAAATTTAGTGCTTTTAGAGGGTTGAAAATGGCATTTGGGAGCCCGTTTCAAGAGACTGCCTGCAAACCATAACATTTATTTTTTCACCAACATTTTGTCTTGTTTGATTTCTTCACCAAGATCTGCATAATATATTTTTCCATTGATGGCAATGTTTGAAAGCAGGTTTCCCCTTCCATTGCTACTATAGTTCAATTAATTTGTCATCGCACCATTGATAGAAGGAAAACCAGGGAATAATGAATAGATATGTATGTTCACAATACAGTTACCCCGCATATACCGTAATTTTCCTTAAATTTCACACCTGAATGTCGCATGTCACAACTTCGGAACACCACTTCGAATTATTCTTGACTTTAGTAGTTTATGGTTGGTTTTAGCATAAATTTCTTTCATCGCGACCCTTATGGCATTCCCGTGCCGTAGAATCTTTGTATCGATCATTTCTCTAGATCTGGACACATTTGTAAAAAAGTTTTTTTCTGACAGTAATTTTCTGTCTGAGATTACAAGTCAATTTACTTTTCCTGCCGTGGCAACAATCCGAAGATTGTCTATGACGGAAAGAATGAATGATAGAAAGGAAGAAATTGCCACAAAAAGTTCGCCAGATTTTGATCAATCCACAGGTAAAAATGTACTGCCGACAAGCCCGCAATGAATGCAAGGGGCACAGCGGAATAATGGCCAATTGCAGGAAATGCGCAATCTGGCAGGTTTTTAAAACATTAACTTATTGCCGAGAAAATTACCGTAAAAATCCGTAACTTATACTAGTACTAGACCTAGACAATACGAAGGCGAGTACGGATCTTTTGCTACGGAATTTCGGTAGTCCTACGCTGTCACAGCTTTTTACGGAGGGAGTTGATAATGATGGAAGAACAAGTACGGAACTGGCAGAAATTACTGAAGAGTGGAAGCACTGCATACCAAATACACTTGTCAGCATGAGAGACTACAAGAGTTATGACAAAGCTAACATTTTGAGAATGGCTGTTTACCTGGTGGGAGGGACTGTCTCAGTTTTTCTGCCTTCTCTGTATCCTGGATGACCAGTGTGTACAAGTATCGGCTACAGCGCACCTTGAACTTCACATTCTCCTTGTTCTTCTTGATTTTAACAGCTGGAGAGGTTAATCATACACAACAGTTAAGAATACTCAGATAAATGTATACCTTACCGATCTGATTCACCACTGTAACAATCATTGTTTATTACAAGTACAAGTAATAAAATCTGTAATTGTACTAGAAATCAAGAAACAATTAAATGAAATCAATTAGGCCCTATATTTTAGAGAAAATGTATTTTTCAATGAAAAACATTAATAAATAACAAGCAACATTTCTCACTATTGTAAGCAAGTCACAAAGTTGTATTCTTGTGTGATACAGAAACAATCTAAACAAGTTCCCTTATTAGTGGAAACTTTACTGTGAAATAAATTTTCCTCATGGAAATTTTCTGTACGATAAACAGCGAAACATAGAACTAGTTCTAAATATTTTTTGTTGATGCAGAAAAAAGGTGCAAAGTCCACTCACTCTGCTTTACAAGGTGAGCAAAATAATTTTTGGTCACTATACTATGTAATACTGGTTAGCAGAAAATCTAAAAGAGAATGAAAGTTGACACAATGGAACTCAGATACAAAGAAGTCGTGGGGCCTGGCCTTCAGTTTTGTTGAATGCAAGTGTTTGTTGTGGTGAATATGAGGCTTTTGGTAAATAATTATGGGCACCAAGCAAGAAACGTATGATGTATTCAGCTTTCTGAATCAAAAACATTTTGCTTTCAAATGAGAGGCATTTACGTTTCTTTGATACCAAAGAAAAGCTGGAATTATAACACCAAGAAACCCAGAAGTTTTTAATACAGACAAACCTGCTCTCACGACCACTTGTCCAAGACAACCATTTGAACAACTGAGCACTTCCCACTTCCTCTCCTTGCTTTTTTTTTTTTTAAATGACGACACTTCCAAACACAACAGCCTATCCAACATTGCAGCAACTGCTATATTTTATCAACCAAGTCATATATATTCTATTCACTTGTCATTATTGTTAGCCCCTCCTTTAAATATACTGTTTGCTGCTCACAGGCGAGATTAGTGGGCATTCCTACTGTTTACCCAAATGACCAGTCAGTAAAAAATTTTCAGAGGCAGATGGGCGAGGCGAGGCTTGCAAACCCTCATAATCCATGAGCACTTTCCACAATTGAACCATCCGCCGACCTCCTCATTTGATATACTTTTTAAAATGCAACACTCACAGCAGTCATGAGACTTCGATCATTGCACAAACAACAGAAACATTCAGACACTGGCAACAGCATAAACATAGAAATGTAAACCATGACTGTATGTGATAGAAAAACGCAGTGGCTACGTTCACGGCGCCCTGAATGCAGTTTGCAGGCGCTGCTGAGGCTACGTTCACGTCACTAAAGCTTCGTTTAGGGGGAGCGTCCACTGCCGGTATAAGTCAGCCAGTTTCAGTCAGTGACGTATATATCGTGTATTTAATATTTTGGCCTGCTTCAAGTGTTCCATGAGATGAAGGAAAAGGAAGAGCCCTTACAGAATTAAAGTCGGGATATGGAAAATTGGATACGGTACATGGGGAAACAAGAGGTGAGAGAACGGAAACAGAAGGTGGGATTCAGAAGATGGGACTGGTCATAAAATGTGTACAATAATGACTACATTGCACCGGGTCAGCCTGGGAACCGACGAAGAGAGAAATCGATAGGAATCAATTATTCTTATCATAATAACAAACACTCTCTCTCTCCCCCCCCCTCTATTTTTCTGTCTGTCGGTCTGTCTCTCCCTCCCTCGTTCTTCGCCACCCCCTCTCTCACAAACACACACACTGCCCACAGACAAATTTGCACGCTTTCACCTTGTGAGCGCTGGAACGCCTCCTTCCACCCCCGCCCCCCTTTAAAATAGGCATACCAATACACAACTCCCTTAACATTTTAAAAAGTCAATACTTACATTTAGCATCCTTCCTCCTGGCAGTCAGGAGAAAGTCTTTAATTTCTTGAATCTGTTTAGGCTGAAAAGAGAGAATCAAGAACAGAGTTACATAAGTTGATACAATTACTACAGTGCTGCACACAAAAAAATAATGCTCCAAGTTCTTTTGTCACTGTCACAACTTTCCTTTTACAGATAAAATGTCACGTAAATGATCTAGCAGCCTGGAAGTCAGGACCAAAAATAACCTTAATCAACAAGAGACATTCATCTGCTGAAAAGCGAGAATAAGATGTGGAAAAATCACACACAAAAAAACTAAAATATAATCATTTTTTTAAAATGCACTCACCATGTTTGGACTACTGCTTGCCTCTTGATACTGGGGACATAATAAATAAAAATTTATTAGCATGCAATAAAGTAATACAGAGAAGTAAACTGTTTTAAAAAATATGGTGGGGTTAAGTCTTAGATGAACGCCGCCGCTTTCCAGTAAAAAAAACAACAAACCCCACTATTCAACATTGCCTCATATTTCATAACAAGTAAGCCTATAATAAACTAGCTAAACCAGTGTCTAAAGACATCTGTTCAACAGTATTATTGGCTAATAGTGCGTGCGTGCCCGTGTTAACGCGTGTATTAAGATGAATTTGAGAATGGCATTATATTGCAAGGATCCGTCTCACGCACAGAGTTCTATTCTTAAGCTCTTTTCTTGTTCATTATCTGCGTTACACCATTTTGACTCTATATTATTTTAAATTCTTGTATGCTTGTGCGGTGGATTACCTCCTCTTGGTTAAGATTTGGGATTAGCATTCCCGTCCAGACCCTTAGGGTGCAATGTGTTATGGTGGTTACAACACACAACACTGACTACACACAGTACAAACGTAACATCATTCTTCATACAATGCAAATGCATAGTCTCTTTGGGTGTCGATACCATGCACTTAAACAATGGACGTTTTTAGCCCCTAGGGCCACCCACTGGGGGCCAGTACATTTCCCTTTCGCTGCTTACTCGGGAACTGTGCAGTCCCCTAACACTGTTTACTGTGGGACTGTTATTAATGTTTTATGACAAAACGCTCTGAACAAGAAAAAGCTGATTTCGAGACGTCAACGTTTTTAGATTTTAGGCATTAAAAATATTTCTCAATCTTTTTCAATTTTATTTTCAAAGACTTGAAGAATACCTTTTAAATTGAAGAATCCAGGATTCTACTTGGAGTAATACCCTTTAATATAGTATAATTCACTTATATTGACAGCCAATGTATCAACATATTTTCCATTTACGAAATTTTTCCTACAATATCTTCACTAAACAATTTCTCTTTTATCAACTTTTTTCTGCCCACTCTGCTTTATTGACATGCTTCCTGGGTACCTGGCTATGCCCACGAACTTAAATGGGGGGGAAAGCCACGTTAACGGTCAACGCCTTAGTACTTCCTTAAGTCAGCATACCCACCAAGCAGCCTATTCGACGCACGAGGCTTTAGTAGGTCATGTAGGGCCTACACAGTGTAGTCTCCAACACAGTACAGTGCCTCCCAGACGTGAGCGTCTCGTGCGCTGGGCATCATCTCCCCACCCCCATCCCATTCTCAGTCTGTCGCTGGCAAGTGCAACAGAGGGTTACAGTCAGTGAGTCAGTGCCTCGCCTTTCCATTTTTCACGGAAGCGGCCATAAACAGGTGTAACAAGGATGCTACAACAAAGTTTGCGCTAGTGTGAAGTGTGTGCCTCGCGTTGCTCGGTCTTTGGAACCGTAACTCCAACCCCTCCTCCCCTCTGCCTCTTGTTAGTTTCGAGAATCAAGGAAGCAACAAGCTTAAAAAAGTACTGATGTCTTTTTACCACTGACCTCCCCTTGTTTTTTCCTCTTTGGCTTTATAGTTTCATTTATTGAAATTTTCATATATCAACATCAAACCCACTTCCTAAAGCATGTCGATATAAGCGATTTGTTTCAATTTTCAAATCTTCAATGTTTAGTTTAAACATTACAGTCGAACCAGCCATGACGGCCACCTGTACAAACGGACACATTCCATTCCCCCCTTGCGCTTTTTCTATATAATTTAACTGTGTAAAACGGTCACCAGTCAAACACGGCTGCAATCACCAACTTCTGTCATCAACCCAGAGCTCAATTTATCTGCATCAGACAGCCATGCCCAACGCTTTGTCATAAATTTTGAATTCTGGAGAGAATCAAGACTGCAACAGATCCAAGACTATGGGATGAACAGAATGGTTTCCGGAAAAAAATCGCTCAACCACCGATCAGATTGCCACGTTGAGGATTATTGTGGAACAGTCCCTGGAGTGGAACTCCCAGCTGATCGTCAACTTCCTTGACTATGAGAAGGCTTTTGACAGGATAGACCGAGCAACACTATGGAAGATAATGAGACACCACGGAATCCCACAGAAGTTGGTGAACCTCATCAACAGCATGTACGAAGGGACAAGTTGCAGGGTTGTACATGATGGCCAGCTCACTGACAGCTTTGACATCAAGCCTGGTGTGAGACAGGGATGCTTACTATCACCGTTCCTCTTCATATTGGCAGTCGACTGGCTGATGAAGGAAACCACCAGAGGACATAGAAATGGTATGCAGTGGACACCATGGACACGGTTGGACGATCTGGATTGTGCAGACGACTTGGCGCTTCTGTCGCACACCCAGGAACAGATGCAAACAAAGACTTCAATATTAAACAGCCTATCTGAGTCTGTTGGATTGAGGATCCACCCCGGAAAGTCAAAGGTCCTAAGGACAGATGCACAACGAAAGGAGCAGGTCACAAAAGAAGGAAGGGCAGAAGAAAATGTTGAATCCTTCTGTTATCTTGGGAGTATAATAGAGAGGGAGGAATAAAGAAATAAAGTCCCGCATTGGAAAAGCACAGGCTGCTTTCATATCTTTGGATAGGATTTGGAGGACCAGAGATATCCCACTTCGAACAAAGCTGAGGATTTTCAATTCAAATGTCAAGTTGGTCCTGTTGTATGGATGTGAGACATGGAACGCATCACAGATATAAAGAGGATCCAGGTTTTCTTGAACAGGTGTCTAAGAAAGTTACTGAGGATCAGATGGACAGACAGGGTCACCAATGTGGAAGTGTTAAGGAAAACAAGACAGATCCCAGTCAAAGATATGGTAGGAAGAAGGCGGTGGCGATGGATTGGACATACTCTCAGGAAGTCAGGCAGCTGCATAACAAAGAAAGTTTTGGATTAGAACCCACAGGGTTAGAGATCAAGGGGAAGGCCGCGTGGAATCTGGAGAAGAATCACAGAAATCGATGTACAGAAAAGTGGGAAGACAGGGAATAACATCAAGAGGCTAGCCCAGGATAGAGAAAGTCAGTGGCCTATACCCTGGTGCAGGGTGAGAAAGGCAATGATGACAACTCATGCACAAATCGTATGTGAGGTGACGTGGTCACTGTTTCGTTTACTTTATACGTATCTGTAACAAAGTAACAATAGACGTGGACGCGAATTTGCGACAGGAGCGTCGCTCATTCTTTGAGTGGTTGCGACCAGTGTGTTCGTTTTACCATGGCACTCGGTCTTCGTCTTACATAATATTCCGTTTATTTTACCCTCGCACAAAATCAGTTTAGCATTAGTACGAGTTTTACAGCACTTGCAACACAATAAGGTCATAAATGTGCATAAGATTAGACGTGTTACAAGAGAGTAACAAACACAAAAAAGAAGGAGGGGAGATAAAGACGATAGATGTTTGAAAGGAAAAAAAGAAGCAAACCACACCAGAGCACCAGCCAACCGCCCAGTCCTGCACAAAATCAATAACACAAAGACAGCTAACCCAAAAACAACAAACTGTGATTGTTCTCAATAGAAATAGAAATGCTTTGGACCAATCGGGGGGTTACCCCACTGGGGTCCTCTGTTTTAACCCATAATTTAATATTTCACAGTTAACTCACTTGCGACTGGGCCCTTTCACCAGTCACAAGCGTTGAAGACTGGCGTTTTTGGGGGTATTTCCATAAATCACCACAACTCTCAGAATTACCCCATTGTAATCATTTTTTGACACAGTAGAGTAACATTCAAGCTTAATCTAATACAAAAAACTAAAGTTGTCTAAGTCCAATACTTTAATTTGTATGATTTTTTAAAAATTGGCATGAATTTGATTTTCCAAAAAATTTCCAGAGACTTGACAAGTAGAATGAAATTCACTGCAACAACAAAAATAAAAGTTCAAAGTGTTCTAGTTTGATTTGTATACATGTGCGAGTGTTTGGTGAAAATATAAAAGCTGGTCTGTGCATTGATTCAGACCCATACACTGAACTACATGAGACAGATGTACGGCACGACGTTGTGATTTCGTTGCGCGAAAAGCTACACCGGTACTAGTGCTAGATCTAGCCCTAGAACTACGACTCGGGCCGTGTTCGGGTACATATCCAGGATCCTAACTATTAGACACATCATATTCTGAGACACTAGAACTAGTAAAACGCACAGAAGTATTGAAAACAGCGAAATTATGCGATTCTTGTTCATGCGACTTTTTCGACCGTTACTACGACGCGACTGTCGGATTACTATCAGCTGTATAGAAAAAAACAAAGCGTGAGTTCCGGTCTGTTCAACCCCAGTTGGGGTCACTGTCCTTCACCTTCAATAACTTAAAAACTACCGGCCCCAGAGATACGAAACGAAGTCTAAGTAGCTCAGGCTTGGCCAAACAAGGGTACGAGGCGGGTCTCGCGATCCGTGCGTGATTTGTAGAGCGAAAAAAAAATCGAAGTGACTATTTCTCCGAACGTTCGGAGAAATAGTGCCGATCTTTATTTCTCCGAACGGTTTCCGGCCTTGTGATTTTTTGTCTATTTATTGCGAGAGTTCGGCGCCAACTTTCATTCTGCCTCTGGCCTCTGGTCTGGGAAGGAACACCGCATGGCAAGCCCGCCTACAGACAACCTTCAGTAACACCCACCACACACCCACCACCATCATGCACATCATGCACACACACTAACTAAACATGACCAGTGGGCAACTTTTGAACGTATGACGAGCTGAGCTGTGGACGGAGAGACAGTGTGAGTGAAAGAGCGGGTGAAAGGAAGAATGTGCGAGTGTATCCACAGGCGACAGCAACTACAAGACAAGACGACGACACCGACCCCCTGGCCTGGTCCACAACTCACGAAAGAAAGAAATGCAGCTCAGGCAGTGTTTTGCCTATATTATTGTCCATGGTATGGTTCGCAGGGTGCAAAGGAAAGAATATTTTCTTTGTGTGTGCCTGGAGGGAGGGGGTGGGGTATGAAGAAAGTCATGCGGACAGGGATGAGCCGCGGGAGAGAACACGGGAATTGAGCCTGAATTGAATGAATGAGGGAAACTGAAAGAGACGAACGACTCATGAGCCCTGGAGTGAATGGATCCTGTGTTTCTATTTTTGTATACTTTGAACTGTTACTGAATACAGGCTGAGTACATTGGTCGCAGCAGTGACAAACGCAGATGCCAGTTCTATGTGTCGTTATCAATAACCCTCCGTAGATCTAGATCTAGACAGCACACGAGTGAACACAACACATTACGTTTAAGAGCAGCACCCTTCATAGGCAACACGCCATATCTGTAGCGAAAAACTGTTTGGAATTGTAGCATTTCTTTATATAAATATTTACTGCGGACATTTTTTGGACCGCTTGAACCATATTGTATACGAACAATCTTTGGTAAGCTTATACTATAATTATAGATCTATATAATATCCGAAATTTGCGAGAAAGGATGTGATTTCAGAGTGTTCGGAGAAATAGTGCCCAGCTTTATTTTCCCGAACGTTCGGAGAAATAGTGCCGGCCAAAAAAAATTCCAAAGTTGGTCACGCAGGGCTTGTGAGACCCGCCGCCAGCGTCGCGGTGGGGCACGCAACTGTTGTGTGACCCGTCTGAAGTGAGTTAAAGTAAAAATTTATCCTATTAAGTATTAAGAACTAGAATCTATCAGATATTTCAAAAACTATTCATTTGCGACGGAAATAAAGTTGATATTCGTGTTCAGTGCATCAATATTTACTAGAAAATGGACAACTGGTAGCTAAGTGTGAGACGAGAGGGAAAGGAAAAAAATACCGTTAGATCTACTGGCACCAGCGCGGAAGACATCAAAAGACAAAAATAGATGGCGGATATACGTCATCTATATTCGGGCCAATCACAGAGGAGTGCAAGGCACTCGCTGCAGCTTCATGTAATTATATATCTGACAATCATTCAGTCAGTCACAGTCAGTGACAGTTTTTCACTCTTCATTCAGTCACATGCAGGGCGTAAACCCGGCTACGATTGGCTGAACCTGTGACCCAGGAATACATTAAGAGGCCTACGGCACGGTAGGCTACTCTTGGCACTTTCAACGACACCCTCCCTGTAACTCTAACCACCCTGTCTCTCTCTTTCCCAAGGTATGGTAACAAACGAAAAAGTCCCCAATTTGTAACATACTACAGTGGAGTCCACTTATAACGAGTCCTGGAATAACGAGAAGTCTGTTATAAGGACACTGTTATAAAACCCCGGAGCGAATGAGTGGGGAGGTTATGGCATGCACAGACAAGCAGAGAACGCATTATCATTATGATTGTGTGATAGGCCAGCCTAGTCTAGATTATCTAGGCCTACCATGCCTCTCATTTCTCCGATGCAGGGAAGGAGAGGTCACAGTGCTGTGATGATGGGATGGAGCAAATGTGTGACGTGCGCAAGTAGACGGAATGCACCACCCAGCGGGCGAGTTAGCCCCTTGTCTAGAGTCCTTTCTTTCTGCTGATCGCCAACGCCGAGCTAGTGCTAGAGAAAGAAACCTGATTCGATTTTTGATCAAATAAGACCAAGAGGTCGTGTTGAACAAAATCATCATCAGTGTCATCAGGGGAGATAACGAAAAGAAATAAACAGAACACCAGACTCATACTCATAGATTAGGCCTACATTATTGTTTCCCTTGAATTTATTGCTGGATCCTTTATAGGCTTTACAGAATCATCCTATAACGGACATTTCGCACTAGTCCCCTCCCTCTCGTCCTCGTTAAAACAGGATTCTATTGTACTAGAATTAGATCTAGACTCTTCTTCTTCTCCTCCTCCTCTTCGTCCCCCTGCTTCTTCTTTTCATCCTTCCCTCCTCCTTCTTCATTCCCACCCTCCATCTACACCTCCTCCTTTTCTTCTTCTTCTTCTATGAGCACTCGACCCGCTGTGAGAAGGCAGTCAAAGGCGTGAGACCGAAACCGGGAATTCCTAGAGTACCCACAGGTTCAGCCAATCGTAGCCCGGTTTACGCCCTGCATGTAGTCGCATGTCACTCAGTCTGCTTTCCGAGCGCCGAGCTGATGGATGGGATGGGGTGGACCCTGCCCCTGCCCCCCCCCCCCCCCCCCACACACACACCAGGCGTCCAGGAAATCTAAACTACTAAACCATCAGATTCACCGTTCAAATTTGAACCCGCAACCCAAGAGGTTAAACACAGTTTCAACACTCTTTATCCCTGGTCAGGATCTCCCGAAGAGTCCCCAATTATTCTCCTCTTTGGTAGCTTGACTACTGACACGCGAAACGTTACTTTCACTTTCGTCCAAACACAGCTCTTTCACTCTTGACACAGAGGCCGTTATGCCGAAGTCTAATGCTATAAGGGTACATTAGCTCTAAACTTTCTACCAGATAAAACAATATATTTGATAAACATCTTATGCAGGTAAATCATTTTATATAAATCAGATGTATAACCTTTGATTACAACAGATATTACTCGCACCCTATATTTCACCTACCAATATCAATAGAAGCCAAGAAGGAAAAGGAACCGGAAACTGGTGAATAAATAAGGCTCTTTTTGTTTTGTGGTTTGGCACGAAAGAAAACTATTTTATCTACAATAAATCTCAAAATATTTCTATCTCATTCTAGTAAAAATTAATTTTTAAAAATCATTTTTGAAGTATTTTTGAGATATTATGAGTGTAAATTATTTTTACCACATCTATTGTAACACTGTGATAGTCCAGTCCAATAAAAAAAAATATAGGCCTATTCGTCTCCTTCGCCGTGCAGGCCTGGCTGGGGGGATGCCTTGGCCAAAAGTTCAAACAGTCACAACAGTAAAGTTTCGACATGTTCGATTCCTTGCGTATTTATAAATTCGAAGTGAGAATACTCGAATTACTCGAGTGAGAAATGCAGGTTGATCGCGTTCGTGACTGACAGATAAGTCACAACCAAGGAGGTTATTATATAGTTGTTGTAAGGTCCTTGGTCACTACTAACCTCGTCAAATATCTTATTATAAGTTCAGCCACTCTTTTTCCTCCTTTGTATGTCTTTTGTTATTGATGTTCTTGTGAGTTTAAATAAAGACAATTGTTTCGATTTTTAACAACATGATACCGTATACTGAATGGACTCACTCAACATATACATTTTCTTTTCTTTCAGTGCCCTGTAGGATCATCTTTGAAAGTCTTGTTGATCTTGTTATTTGCTCATACCATCTCAGTTTGCGGGGGGGGTTCCACAGTGTTGAGAAGATCTTCAACGGCCCAATGGCATGCCTGATTCTAATTCTCACTTCCTTATTTGTAACATGATCTCTGTAGGAGATGCCCAAAAGTCTTCAGAAGCATCTCATTTCTGCAGCTTGCATCTTTCTTTCTAATGCTGCTACATGGGTCTATGTCTCCCAAACGTACAGGAAGATTGAAATGACCAAGAAATGCATCAGTCTGATTTTGTAACTGAGTGCAATTCTAGTCTTTCGGTCAGTTGGCACAATTTCTTATTCTGTTAGGGAATTAACAACCCCCGCGGCGCCCTCCACAGTCTCCTACTGCCTTGCAAGCCGATTCGGGAGAACCAAAGGCTAGAATGTTCACATTGCATCTGAGTATGGACATATGAACTTCCTCAATGGAGTCACTGTCCATGATGCATGATTCGAGAGGACTTGGTTCTACAAGTCTGTGACCAAGCCGGTTTTCGACTGTGGTCGACAGCTTTGGAGAGAGATTGGCTCCATCAGGCTTTTCTGTCCTAGATACATAGGATGAAAAAAGACAACCATTGTTTACACCGTATACCAGATCGGCCGTCGTTTGGGTCAACAAGGACCGCGCCTTTCATTGCACCTCAGCGTTAAGGTACTTAAATGTGCTACTGGTGATAACAAGAAACTACGTACCAGATCCGTTATCACTTGGAATGTGAGAACATTGAAAACACCTGGACAGTTGGTAGGACTTACATGTGAGATGAGTAGATACCGCTGGGGCGGTCTTGGACTCGGTGAGGCAAGTACGGTACCTACAATGTAGTCAATAAACTATATATTATTATTGTCGCAATTGGCCCTTGGGAAAGGCTGTCCGCCGGCCTATGCATAGAGTTGGGTAATGATAGGCGAAGGTGAAAACGGAGAGAAGCATAATAATCTTTATTTCTGCTTTATACATAGCATTAAAAAGTGAAAGCCCATTTATTAACAGATGTCCAACGCGAGTAATATCTAAATTTTGTGGTATTGTACTTTTGTCACCACATTTGACATTCTCGAATCTTTGTTCTCGAGCTTCGTTTACCAGTGGGAGATCTAGTATCGATTATCAGTATCGAATAGAAACAACCACATCTATTCGCTACTTGTATCAATACCAAGAAATTGAAATAAAACAGTCACACGATGTGAGTAACGAAACTTTACTGCTAATGTCATTTTCTCTTTTCATAACTCTTCTCATTGTTTGAATTATCTTTTGGTTGAAGAAACCTATCTTTGGTAAGGGATAAATGTGCACTTTGCTAGTCGAATGCAGATGCATTACTGTTCTGTTTATTGCACCGTCTATTCCCAACTGATGAGGGGTAAAACCTAATATCGATAGATTGGCGATTTTGTAGTTTCGTTCGTTAATTAAAGTCAAGAGTCAAGTGCCCCCCCCCCCTGACCTAATAATGGAGGGGGGGGGGGGGGGTGAATTTTATCCTAATTTAATGTTTTGCAGTTAGGTTGCATCCCTGCTCTTTTTGTAGCCTATTTCAAATAGTATTTTTGGTCATCAAGACTTCTGGATTTCTTCTCTGGATGTAAACAAATGGATCATGGACTTTAACGAATGGCTGGTGTTAGGAATGCGTACCGTTCAATAACACTGGACTGTTCGGGAAGCGTACGCGTCAATAACACTGGACTGTTCGGGAAGCGTACGCGTCAATAACACTGGACTGTTCGGGAAGGAAGCGTACGCGTCAATAACACTGGACTGTTCGGGAGGCGTACGTGTCAATAACACTGGACTGTTCAGGAAGCGTACTCGCTTCAATACGCTTCCACAGCACTACGAAATTATTGACCCGTGTTTTTGTGACATTGACACTCGTCCACAGTAGTATGAAAGATGTTTCAATTGTCCCTTGGAGATTGGAGAGAGAGAGAGAGAGAGAATGGGGTAAAACAGAGAGAGAGAGAGAGGGGGGGTGGAGGGAGAGAATGGGGTAAAAACAGAGAGAGACGGAGAGAAGGGGGGAGATAAAGAGAAGGGCGGGGGGGATGAGAAGTAGAAATAGACCTGCATGTTTGCCGACAATCGTCTAAAATCCGACAATCGCGACCCGACCCGCGAGCAGGTCGATGCTATCGCTAGGCCCACATGTATAGTCAATGTGCGAAGTACGAAGCCTGGCCGACTGCCAGCGCCCCCTTTTTCTCCCGTCGGCTTTGTTGGCACTTTCGTTTTCGTTCCGACTGCCGACGTCGGCGTTTCCGACATAATTGTTGGAACCTGAGTAGAAATACGAATACGAAAAAGTACGACGACCTAAATTATCTACTTTCAGTTTCGTGCTCGAGTGGCCATTTTGAATTTCGTTTGTTTACTGATTGTTCAGATCATTGTGGATTCTTTCAAGTCCGACTCACTTGTTCTACTTTAGATCTAGATTTATAGATCATTATAGACCTCAATGGAGGATTCATATTCCAATTCTATTGTGTCAAACCCTATTATAGGCTGTGCTGTAATATTAATGTTGGTAAAACGCATTGGTTACCAAACGCATTTTATCAGGTGCGTGAATTATTTACTAAGAGAATAAGGCCGTCGTTATTCGGACTCGAGTCTGAATAACATTTTTTCATATTCGGACTAGAGTCCGAATAAAAAAATTTCTTATTCGGACTCGGGTCTGGAAAAAAGGAAGTGTCTTCGTTCTATAGATCTAACGTTCAGTGCTTCCAATTTTCCGCCATTTTTTAGTTTCCCCCATACCTTATCTGCCGATCCAATGCCAGCCGCCTCATTGATACGCCCCCCCCCCTACGTTTCCCACTTTCTTTGTTGTAGAAAAAGGTAAAATTGAAGATTAGCAGACCACCTGGCATATTATCATTATGAGCTGTGTAAAAAAAAAAAAAAAAGACCGATTGGTTCAAATACACAAGCCTATGTCATATCGATTGTTTACCAAGAAAAAGTTGTGTTGCTGTGTAGAGCTGAGCATACGGCAACTTTTGATTCCATAGACCAGCGCACAATTCATTACGTATTCATTATGTAGATCTACGTCAAGACTAGCTTATTATATTGTAATAATGATCAGTTGCCAGGGGGAAAAAGACCGACGCTTATGCGACGTTCAAAGCCCGGACCGATAGTGCCCCCACCACCCTCCCCGACACGCACACAGCCACACGTGTGCAGGCTGCCCATCCGACCCCGACACATGCTAACGAGCCATCTTTAATTGCTTCTGATGACCTCTTGATAAATAAACATTTATTAGAAGCGCTATAACTTTTCAGGCCGGCCTCAAATTCATCATAAGATTAAAACTCGGCTCCTGCACAAAACGCCTTTTTGCTCGAAGTGATCCCGGTCTCTACCCAGCCTGAGGCGAGTCACGAGTGAGGCAGGACAGGAAGCCGGATTCACGAGTCACAGGAAGTCGGAAGTGATGTCATGCTGGACAAGAATCAGAGTCCGAATAACATTTTTTCATATTCGGACTCGAGTCCGAATAATCACTTCGTAGAATAAAGATCTAATCTAGACTCAGCTGAGTCCCTCTGTTCGGAATCGGATGCGGATTTCTCGTTCAAGGCCTATTCCTATTCACTTGTTCTACTAGATCTAGATCTAGATTTATTTAGATCACTAGATCTATAATATAACTTGATCTATTTGGAGGATTCATATATTCCAATTCTATTTAAATTGTATCAAACTCTTTATAGCAATGTAGACCATGCTCCTTGTTTGTTTTGGAGTGTGCTTTTTTTTTTTACTTGTGCTGGCCTTTTTACATGAGGGCTGTTGCAGGTTCTTTTTTGGGTTAGGCCTAGGAGTAGGGTTTGGGTTAGGGTTAGGTCTGTTCTTTATTGTGTTTGTTCGGGTGGTCGCTCGTTACTCGGAAGTCCCTCCTTTTATGACACCCACAATTTAAAAGCTCTTAAGTTATTGGGAGGGGAAGGGGGTGCGCAAAATTTTCAGACAATCTGGTTGAGGGTCACATGCAGGTCTAGTAGAAAGAAAGAAAGAAAGAGGGAGAGAGAGAGGAGGTGAGGCATTTGTTAAATTATAATAAGAATTGTCATTGATTCCTGTCAATTTTCTCTCTGCGTCGGTTCACAGGCTGACCCGGTGCAAAAACAGTCATTATTGTAGCCTGCACATCACACACACATAAAGTTGCCGTCATGCACAAACCTCCTAAGCGCCACTGACACTAAGGAGAAGCAAAAAAACTGATGAAATTCTCAACATTTTAAAAAACTTTTCAACTTTGTTCTAGAGTGAATCATTGATGACGGCTTGTGTGTATGTGTGTGTGTGTGTGTTTATGTGTGTGTGTGTGTGAGTGTGTGTGTGTGTGTGCTTCTTTCTTTCTCTCTCGATCTCTCCCCATCTGTCGAAAACACACACACACACACACACACACAT